TGTGCCTTTCCTCGTTGCACTCATAACAGACCTTCTTAGTGAATGTGCACTCGTTGGCATAGTGCCCGGGCTTTCCACACTTGAAACATGTGACCCCTCTGTCACATTTTCCTTGGTGCTTCTTCTTGCATTTTTCGCACCATTTTGCTTCGACTCCTCCTCCTCTCGAATCAGACTTTGAGAATTTACTCTTCTTGCTGGACTTCAAGGATCCATCTAATTTCCTTTTCTCACCAACCTCCGCTCTCTCCAGACCCTTCTCTCGAATCTGGGTCTCCACATTCTTAGCAGCCCAGATGGCGGCTTTCAAAGTGGTTGCTTGCTTGACCATCGGACCAAAGTCCGCTAGTTATCTATGGGAAAACTTGTTAACCTTTGAGATTTCGGTTGGAACTAGGTATAGAACAAGCTTCATTTTCTCTGTAAAACTTGCAGCGTATTTAGCGACGCTCATTCTTCCCTTCTATAGATTCTAGAACTCATTGTTGATTTCCAGAAGATCCTGCTCCGAGAAGTATTGCATCTTCAGTTGCACCAGAAAATCCTCCCAAGATATCTTGCTTGCTTTATCTTTGGGCATTGAATCAGCTAGTAGCTTCCACCAGCGTAGTACTCCAGATTTTAATAGACGAACCGTGAGAGCGGTCTTCTATCTGTTGCTACACTCACAACTCTCAAACATTGTCTCCATCTTGGAGATCCAGTTCATGACTTCCACCGGTGTTGGGTTTCCAGATAGACACGGTGGTTTGGATACCATGAAATCCTTATACTTGCATCCACATACATCATTTCCTCCATCTTGGTTGTTTCATCTAACTATCGGTGGGTTGGATTGACCAACAGTCCCATTGCAGTTCCCTCCTTCTGATTTCCCATCATTCAGCTCGGGCTGTTCGACCAGTATTGTAGCTTCTTCTCGATTCCGTTGAAGAAAACATCTGGTTTCCTCCATTTGACGATCCAACATCATTTGGATCATCGCTTGTACTTCGGCCATTGTGATTGGCTCAGGAGCATCTGCTACAACAGATATTTTCTGAATCACTGGGGGTTAAATCCTATTCCTACTTGCATTCCCAGCTCTACTGCGGATTCTTGCCAATTTGATCTATACACCGAATAAGGTGAATTTAGATCTTTATTTAGGATAGACATTCAAATCATCCTTATCGCTCTGAAACGTTTACATGCTCGTTCTAATATCGTAGTCGTACGTTTAGAATCCTAAACACATAAGGTTTCCAGATCCGGTCGGCAACAGACCATAGATCCGAACAAATAACGGTATATAAGGCATAAATCATTTAGCACATAAAGCATATTAGGCATACTTTCCTAAATAAGCTAGTTCTCACATCTCACAATCATCTCTTAGCATTCTAAGTTTAAGTCTAGAAATTCTACAAATTCCTAGTTTGCTTAAACTAATGCACTGATACCAACTGTGACATCCCTATTTCCAAGGCCATAAAAGACCAATTTTGTTTATGCTTTATTTAAAAATCAGAGTAACATTTTAAATAAAAGTGTTGCGGAATTTGTTTCCAAAATAAAATATGATAAAGACTTATCAAAGCATTTCAATAGAAATGTATTTCATTAAAAACCTCAGGATGTCATGCTCAATACAGATCAAAAGCATAAACAGTACAATATAAGCCTTACTACATTTATTCATATCTACAGGCCTATATCCGTAATCCCTCATCCAAAACATCACATCTATGCTCGAACACCACTACCTGTAATACATGAAACTGAGTGGGTCATGCTTGGGAGCTTGGTGGGCACATAGGGTTTTCAACCCACAATAAATAAGTTATTTAATTTCATCAACCAACAATAACCTAATCACCTGTTCCCGTTATCCTCACTTTACGTCCCTAAACACTTATCATAAGTGACCTAGCCTAAGGATCATCATCGGGATGGACACTACTGCTAAGGGGATTCTTCAGCAATAAATGTCCTTAAGGAAACCATGAGGGGGATGGAGTACACCGGTGAAACACATCGTTCACAAACACCTACAAGTTGGGAGTCTGCTAGTGTTCTACTGGACTGTCTAGAAGAGTATGTGGTCGTCATCCATACTCCGCTACATGACAGAATTAACAACAACAACATCGATCCCTTTCATCTTTTTATCACACATCGTCTATTACATCTACCCATATTTTACCCCAATATTTTCGTAGGTATAAAATACATATATACAGTTTAAATTATTTAAAACATATATAAAAATCGTTCATCCAATATAGATAGCAAGTATAAAGATAATATGCACGCATAACACGTAATTTATATAAAATACTTCGTATCTATGTGTAAGATGAAAGAGACTATGCACTCACCTAAAAAATGGTGATTCTGAACTCAGACAACGCTTTGTTTCTTAAAAATAATTTCCTTCGACGAAACCTAATATTATTACCACTAGATTTTAGTCTAATATTTGCTGTGAATTATTATTATTATTATTATTATTATTATTATTATTATTATTATTATTATTATTATTATTATATAAGCGTTTAAACAATATTTTCCAACCGCTATGTACAGATAGGGGTCTGACATAAAACACCGGAGGGCATGACCATTTTGGCATATAGCACTTCTGAAATCCAACAACCCTATGTGGCCCTTTAAACCATATTCCCCGTACCGCGAGTATTTAAAAGATATTATAACGACACTTATATAACTCATAATAATAGCTCAAATAATTATTATAAGGTCGTAACAACGTTACAATAATTGATTAAAATCTATATTAAAAATAGCGTAGGCGTAGCTAACTTACAACGGGTTATCTCGAAACCGGGTTACACTTGGATCAGCGTTCCCAAGCCGAAAAGTTCTTCTTCTCGGAGCCGTCGAGCACTTCTAGGCTTTCTTCTAGCGCTAGGGGAGTTCCCTGGGGCTTTGGGAGGGGGGGGAGGTTTAGAGAGAGTAGAGAGAAGATAGAATGGGAAATATGTGAAGAAAATGAGGGTCAGAGAGGTTCTATTTATAGGGTGAAATATGGTTGAACTTGGTACCACATGTCATCATCTGGTGGCAAGACTTGGGGAGAAAACAATGCCCAAGATTGTGCCACGTCACCCATTTTTGCACAACACACTTCCGACTTCTAAAATCCGTAACTTCAACATACGAGCTCTGTTTTTGACGTTCGTTATATCCACGCGTAGGTAAAAATAAGATCTACAATTTTCATTTTGACTCCATCGGCTAATTCTCGACCGATCTTAAATTTAACAGTACGAGGATATTATATTGTTAAATATCCGCGTGAAATTCATAACTTCTACATACAGACTCCGTTTTCGTCTATCTTTTTACCGTTGATTTCCTATTAATGAGATCTTCAATTCCCATTTAGGTCGTGTAGGTTAAAAACCACTCGATCTAAAATTCGAGTTTCGGGTTGTGCACTACTAAGCCAAATCTTAGAAAATTCATAACTTCCTCATACGAAGTCAGATTTGGGCGTTCTTTTTATGCATGCTCTCGGTTTAACGTATACTACATCTTTGGTTTAGATTACTAAGGCCAAAAAGTCATTTATCATAAATTCACTATTTACGTCACACAGTGTCGTACCGGTTTTGTCGTGAAACTTCAATAGATCATAACTTATTCGTTATAATTCGGATTTCGGCGTTCTTTATATTTTGGAATCCTTGTCACGACCAATACAACTTTCTTCATCGATATTGGGTTTATCTAACACTTTATTTTTTACGCTTACTTTTACCATTTATTTATTATATCATTATAAACAAGTAATAAGCACATAAATTCACATAATTCACGTATTACTAAAATAATTTATCTTTATTACTTCAAAATAAGTTACAATTGTTGATCTCACTATTACATCACAATATTAATGCTTAGCCCAGAAACACGGACGTTACAAAATCCTTCTCTTCTTTTCCAAAGATGCACCAAGATACTCAATATTAGTTCAACACTCTCTCTATTAGCTCAAAGGGCGATTAGGGTTTCTCTCAGTGAAGGTAAGCAGTTGATGAGCCGCAAATGAGGCTATAAATGCCCTTAAATAAGCCCCAAACTCGGGGATTTAGGTTTTCACTTCACAGCGTTTACTCTGCGAGTCGACTCTCTGACTCGTCGAGTAGATCATTAATCCCATGTGGCACAACACGACTCTACTCGACAAGTTGTAGCACCAACTCGTACAGTTGCTCAATAGTCCTCAAAAATATATAAATAAGCAGTATACCTAAAAGTCCGGATGTTACTGTAGCTCCGCCCATGATGTCTTACAAATCAACCATATAGAGTAAAAAGCTCACGATCAAACTTACATAGAAATATGCTCTTAATTTACCTATATTTGAAGTTATGCTTACAAAATTCTTTGTGTTTTCCATATTTCATAAACTAAGTGTATATGGTGAAGCATATAGTACAACTAGTGTCTATCTAATTTACCTATATTTGAAGTTATCCTTACAAAATTCTTTGTTTTTTTCCATATTTCATAAAATAAGTGTATTTGGTACAAATGTTTGAAGCATAGAGTACAACTAGTGTCTATTTATTGTCTATTGATGCATTAGATATAACTTTATTCCATTCACTTCTCCTTTTTAACCGGGAAGCAAAGAAGTTATTCCCCAACACTTGATATATACTCGTCACTAAAATTTTCTTGTTGACGCCTTGCGTGAGCACTATAAATACCCTCCCACAACAAATATCCAAATCACCAAAAATAAAAACCATCGAATTCACAGGTTATCCCCTCTCAAAAATCAAACTGTGTTTCTAATATTTCATATATTTTCTCATAAATCTATTGAACATTTCTTATAATCCATCAGCCGCACTCCCCAAACATTTATTTAGAGGATGTTGCCGCAAATTTTACATGAATTTGTAGCCCTTGTCTTATTTTTTGAGGTTTATCTAACAATTCCTTTAATTTATAGATTTGTACGTTGGATATTCACGTCGAAATGGAAGACCTAAATTCTCAGGTTTTTCTTACACTTTGGCTACTTTACTATGTTTCGTATATTTTATATGGTACTTTATTGTGCATAGTAGGGGATGTGCCCTTAAACCCCAACGTTCTCAAGTCCTAATTAGTTGTCTCAAAATGCATATATATATATATATATATATATATATATATATATATATATATATATATATATATATATATATATATATATATATATATTATATATATCTCCAAATATAATCGAACCGAATTCAACTTGAACTGAATAACATCCCAATTACAATAAATATATCGATGACACTAAAATCATCAACATTTAATACTTTCAAAATTATCTCAATAATACATATTATTGGTACCTAATTTTAAGATAACTTTATTGAAGAAAAATAAGCAAACATGTATTCTTAAATTTTTTAAAATGATTATCTAAAAGTTTAATAACAAGTAGATTTGTTTAAGTTTCTTATAAAAATGAAATATCAATTATAGGCCATTATTTTTTCTTATGGTAATATTAGTTATATACGTTAATTATAATTAATTTTATATAAAATGTTTGTAAACAGATTGGAAAACAAATAATGTCCATTTAGGGCATATACAAATTTTTAAGTTATGATAATATTTAATATTGTGCAACTTACGATCATATTCCAAAATCCAACTTCTTGTTTTGTTGAACATAAGACAGAACAGGCTTTTATTTTCGTAATTTATTTTGCGTTTTTGACTTCTTAGATATTATATTATTTTTTTGTTAAGAGAAATTAGATAAAACTATTTTTCTTTATCTTAGATTCTTTTTAATTGCATAATCTAATTAAAAATATTTAATATTGTATTTATCCGATCGTATATTTTCATGATGTTTTTGATTTTTCAGTTAAAAAAAATGTATGTCTATCCAACGTGATGTTTACTGTTCATTGAAATAGAAAGATAAAACTTTACGAGGAAAACATATTTTTTAAAATATAAAGTAACTATGGAAATCAAACTAAGGGCTAATGTCATAAAAACCGTTAAGTTTTTAGAATTTTGTCGGTTTATCCAAAGTTGAATTTTATATCCGTTTTTACCCTATTATTTTCCAAAAAATGTTCGATTTTACTTTTTTTACCGGTGATAAGAGGTTAGTATTATATTAACTGCGCAAAAAAACCCTTAAGTTTATAGTTTTTTTTACGTTTTTACCCTTAAGTTTATAATTTTTTTTTACACTTTTACCCTATGAATTTTTTTTCCATAATATACGTATTCAAGCAGAAAAATCATATGAATATGTATTTTATGAAAAAAGTATACTTAAGGTAAAAGTGTAAAAAAAAAATTATAAACTTAAGGGTAAAGACGCAAAAAAAGATAAACTTAAGTGTTTTTTTTTTGCGAAATTAATATAAAGATAATCTGGAAAACCTATTATCATTGGTAAAAGGGTAAAAGCGAGCATTTTTTCAAAAATATTAAGATAAAAACGAACATAAAATTCAACTTTGGGCAAAACCGATAAAACCCTGAAAACTTGATGGTTTTTATAACGTTACCCTAAGACTAATCAAGAAATGATTTGATAATAAATTTATATATATATATATATATATATATATATATATATATATATATATATATATATATATATATATATATATATATATATGGGGAAAGTGAATATACTCTTAAGGGTATATAAGCTTAGGTACCCAAACTCACTATAATTAGTTGTTTTGTTTGATATATTCATTATAATGTTATTAAACTTCAACCTTAACTTGATTTACTTTGAAGATTTTCGAAATTTCACTATTGTTTTCCTCTTGTATCAATTCTTTTTGCCGAACACCTATTAGACTATGTATATTAGAGTTTAAAATGAAAATTATGTAAGAGGAAGATAAATGAAAATTATATTAAAAAATAAGTTAAGTTATAGAAAAATATTTATTTTAGGTTTTGGTAATAGGCAATGTTGTAAAAATCCCGACTAGGTCCTAATTAATCTTCGATTAATCCCTAGGCGCTACTCGACCGATTAGAGGGCGCCTAACGATTAATCCGTTCATACACAATGAGTGAAACAGTAGAACTTGATGAAATTTTAACACTTTGAAAAAGTTATACCTCAATAGAAACTATTTAAGGTATGATTACTCTTTTATTAATCATAATAACCTATTTTGTTATTGATATTAGGGGTATTTATGAACTTTTATATAATATTAGTCATATTTAATTTTTTTAAAATTCAACAAATTAGCAATTAATGGTCACCGATTAGTCCTCCGATTAATCTCCGCCTAGCCGGTTAATCTATTAACCACAGTCCACCGACTAGCTAACGTCAAACGATTTTTACAACCTTGATAATAGGTAATAGGTTGTAATTTATTTTGTTTTAGATTGTTGTATTAATTATTTAATATTAAATTTACCTTTCATTCTTGTTATAAAAAAATGAAATATTATATATTTTAGACAAATTTGTAAGAATGGTCTATGTAGTATGTCAAAACTAAAATGTTTGGGCAAAAAATGTTTGGACTAGTATTAGTGGTCCAAAAGTTTCATTATCTTACGAGTTTGGTCTAATTTGGTTTCAATTTTTTTGTAAGACAATTTTGTCTTTAATATTTAATTTTCCATTTTTGTTTTGTTAGTAGCATTAGAAAAACAATTAAAAATAAAATACCCTCCCTTTTTCCTCCCCCCCCCCTTCTTTCTTTCTTTCTCTCTCTCTCTCTCTCTCTCTCTCTCTCTCTCTCTCTCTCTCTCTCTCTCTCTCCATTACAACCCTAATTCCAAAGATATTGAAGCGATTGTTATCAAAGTTTGGAATTGAGGAACCCTTGAAGAACATTCGTACAAAAAATTCATCAAGAAAGCATCATCGCTGCAATATTTTAAACTTTTTTTCGTAATCTCTTCCACATCAAGCTCCTCCTCATATGCACAACAACTTCAAAACTCATCTCCATCTTCTTTGAGATTCAACTCCATTACAAAAGTTATTACATTTGCTTCACCAAATTAAAACGAAAGACAAATCAAAAAACGATCAATATTTAAATCTGAACACCATATTCCAGATCATGATCGACAAATAAAAAATTCCAACAAAACCCAGATCAGAAAAACTTCAAAGCTATAAAGACTAAAAATATTTCATCTACTGAATCTGAAGTGATCAGTGGTTTTGATTTTCATATATAGTCAATGATTATAGAAACGAGAAGTGTGTACGAATCTTAGTTGAGAGAGCTTCAAATCATTGTTTAACTACCGTCGATCTCTCAAGAACCAACCTACAACAGCAAAAAAAAATCCTCTGAAAATCCCACTTGAAGTTCTTCAATGGCAACATCGATTCAGTCTCTATCAGTTCAGAGTAAGGGGAGAAGTGGATATGAAGGATGATAGGTGGGTGTTGGCTTCGATTTCAGTTTCAGAGAGGCAATCAGAGCTTTTTGATTTAGATCTTCTGGGATATCCGACGAACTTTAGGGATGAACATACATAAATCGATTTCAAGAAGGAAACCTACACATACACACATACATAAAATCGATTATAGATTGGATTTATGGGTATTCTTTTGAGAAAGAGATTTGTGTGTGTGTGTGTGTGTTCATCAGATATGGGGTTCATGAATGTAAGTGTGTACGTTCTTTAGCTCTTGATTTCAACTTTAGAACAAGAAACCCTTCATCAGATTTGATTTCGACTTTAGAATAATAAACCCCAAAAGTATTGATAACAAACCCATTGGCAATCATTAGAGCTCAGATTGAAGCTGTCGATTAAAGCTAGAAAGAGAACATCGATTTTTCATATGTATAATTTTTCACATGCCATTGAAGCTTCGGTGAGAGAGAGAAAGAGGGGTATTTTATTTTTGTTTCATCTTTAATTGTTTTTTAATTGCTGGTAATAAAATAAAAAATTGAAAATTAAATAATGAAAGCAAAATCGTTTTTACGAAAAAGTTCAAACCACACTGGGCAAAACTCTCAATAAAATAATTTTTTTTTACCATCAGTGTTACTCCAAACTTTTTGGTCAAAACATGCGAGTTTTGATATATATATATATATATATATATATATATATATATATATATATATATATATATATATATATGGCTTAGGTTATTCTATTTTAACTAATTATTGTGCGAATATCATATGATATAAGAATGATACAGAAAATATATTGTTTGATAATATAAATACGTTAAATCTTACATAAATGTTGTCATTAACACACATTCTCACTAATTAAATCGTCTATAAAGTTATTATACACATATTATTATTATTATCATTTCTGTCAGAACGTTTGTCAGAATGCTTATTGGGTCGTATTATGTCAGAATGAAAATGAGTGAAAAACGATATGTGAGAACAAAAATAAATAATAATTAGCGAGAATGTATAAAAATAACGATATTTTTGTAAGGTTGAATGTATTCACATTGTTAAACAACTTATTCTTTTAGTAATTCTCATAACATATTATATCCGCACAATAATTAGTTAGAATATTTAAATTTAGTTCATATATATATATATATATATATATATATATATATATATATATATATATATATATATATATATATATATATATATATATATATATATATATATATATATATATATATATATATATATATATATATATATATATATGCGCGTGTATGTGTGGGAAAGAGAAAAGCTATTAGGTAGGTCTACTTTTCCAAAATGACAATAAAAGAGAGCACTGCAGGATTTAATCGTATAAGGGAAAATGGAGTGGTTTGAAGTAAGATATAGATTTTACATGGTGGAGAAGGTGAGAAGAGACTCCATAAACTCATGTGAGAAAGGTCATCGATGACCGAATCCCATGACTATAACTCTATACTTGAACGATAGGGATGAGGTTTCTTCCTTTTTTTTTTTTATTTTTTTTTACATAAAATTAGTTGAAAAAAAATAAAAAATAAGATAAGAAAAGGATATAAAAGTCTTT